TGCAGCTGCAGCTGCAGGTGCTGGTGTTGTTGCGTCACGTAATATTCTCCCGCTGTTGTCGCATGCGGTGCACGTGTGTCGCGTTTGTCACGTCGCGTCATCTCACAGCCGTATTGCGTGGGGCTCGTGCCGCATTGAAGCAGCTGCATCGTGTCGTGTCACGCCGCATCGTGTCGTGTCACGCCGCATCGTGTTGTCGTGCCACAGCTACGTCACGTTAGTTGGTAATGCACCGTGCGTCATGTTATCTCACGATAAATCGTGACATGCCGTCTCACGCTATATTGTGACATGCCGTCTCACGTTATATTGTGACATGCTGTGTCACGCTATATTGTGACATGCCGTCTCACGTTATATTGTGACATGCTGTGTCACGCTATATTGTGACATGCCGTCTCACGTTATATTGTGACATGCTGTGTCACGCTATATTGTGACATGCTGTGTCACGCTATATTGTGACATGCCGTCTCACGTTATATTGTGACATGCTGTGTCACGCTATATTGTGACATGCCGTCTCACGTTATATTGTGACATGCTGCGTCACGCTATATCGTGACATGCCGTCTCACGTTATATCGTGACATGCTGTGTTACGCTATATTGTAACATGCTACATCGCGTTATATCGTGACATGCTATCTCACGCTATATCGTGACATGCTACATCGTGTTATATTGTACAGGCTAACTCAAGCTATATCATGACATGTTATCTCACGCAGTATCGTGACATGTTATCTCACGCCGTATCGTATCGCGACGTTATCTCACTCCGTATCGTATCGTGTAATATCACACCGTTTCGTATCGTGTTATCTCACGCCGTATCATGACATGTTATCTCACACCGTATCGTGTCGTTGTGTGTTGCAGGTGCTATGGCATCTGGACGTCTTCCGGCGTAGCTTCCGGGACCTGACGGGACACGCCTGCCTTGGCCACTCCTGCATCTTCTGTGCCTTAAAGGTGAGTCCGACGCGGATGGGGTCAAGGTTACGGTCAAGGTTAGGGTCAAGGTTAGGGTTAGGGTCACGGTTAGGGTTAGGGTTAGGGTCACAGTTAGGGTTAGGGTTATGGTTAGGATTAGGGTCACGGTTAGGGTTAGGGTTAGGGTCACGGTTAGGGATAGGGTTAGCGTCAAGGTTAGGTTTAGGGTTGGGGTTAGGATAAGGATTAGCGTAAGGTTAG